TTTATTTATTTATTTATTTATTTATTTATTTATTTATTTATTTATTTTTAAGGCAGGTAACTCCTTGATTCTGCACAATTAGTTGCTGGAGCATTCACTGGCCACAGAGGCCTGGTCATCATGGAGTCTGTGAAGTCCTGCCAGGTGCTCAGCTTAGGGGGTCAGTGCCCCTGCTGTCAGAGCCCCTATGCCCTGTCCTGATCCTGAGGCCCCCAAGATGACCCACAGGTCTGCCTTTTGGGGGGTCAGTAACCAATGCTGATTTTTCAATTTCTGTAATCCTTCTGTACAGGGCCCATTGAGGAATTGGGGGATATGTTGAAGCAAATCTTTTTATTTTTTAGATTATATACTATGCACAGTAGTCTTGGCCTTGAACAAAGTTTCAGGGCTCAAAATCCATACCTTGGCAAAAAGACAGACGCCACTGGCTCCTCTGTGTTAGCTCTGGCTCCCTGGCTAGGCTGAGGGCTGTGGCTCAGGAGCATCCAGTGAGATTAGAAAGCTCTGTGGACTCCAAACCTGTAGCTCTTTCCCCTCAGGCACAGAGCTCTGCCATAAAGCATGAGTTCATAACCTCTAAGGTCACAGGGCTCCAAAGAGGCAAGCAGCAAGTCATTCAGGGGCACACATCAAGGCTTGTTAGTGGATTCATGTCTGAAATGTTGGGATTCATGCATTGCATTGCTTTACGGCAGTGGGCCTTGGAGGGGAGCAGAGGAGTTCCACACTATTACCAGTTTAGTGACCTTGTTTATGGAAATTACAACCTACTCCTCCGGCCTGGAAGGGAAACCTACCACCCCCTCAAACACATCCCACCTTGATGGTCCTTGGGTGGACTGGAAGTTAAAGTTTGCACAGGGAGAAATTGGCTTGTGAGGCCCCAACTCTCCTTATCACAGTTATCTTCTTGCTGCTTGTCTGCTATCCAGCCTGCACCCCGGCCAGACTGTCTTCCCATAGAGCTCACCCACAGGCATCACCCTGCCCCTCTCTGCTCCTGTTCATTCAGGAGGTGTTTAATATCCTTTCTCTTCACAAAGAGTTCCTACCTTAAAATTTTGTAGCAGTGTGTGTGTGTATGTGTATGTGCTCTGAGTATCATTCTTCAGGTACTACCTGGCTTTAGTTTTTGAATCCAGATCTCCTCTGCAAGGCCAGGCTGGCTGCCTGTTGAGTACAGGGCATCTCAGGTGTTCTTCTGTCTCCTCCCCTCCTCAGTGCCGGGATGATTAATGCATGCTGTACCATGTGCCGCTGTTTTACTTTTTACATGGTTTCTGGAGATCAAAACCAGGTCCTTGCACTTTATCAACTGAGCCATCACCCTAACTCTAATATTTTAACTCTATCTCGTTAATGTTCTGTCCTCATACAAGGATAAAGGGTGAAGTGACCAGGTCTCATCACTCTATTCTTTAACTCCATCTTTTCCAACCTTCAGTACCTGGTATTTCACTTCCAGGGTCAGTGTTTTATTGTTGTGGGACATGTACACACACACAGGATTGGCCCTTCTGTGTTTGGCTCATTTTACTTAACATAAGGACCTCTATCTGGTTCTGGCCATTCCATGGCTAATTACAGGATTCCTTTATTCTTTATGACTGAGTAATGCTCCATTGTTATACACAGGGTATTTATTTTTGCTGAGGGTCCCAGGCTGAACCTGTGACTTAGCTAGAGTGAATTGTGCTGCAGTACACAAGGGCATGTAGGCACGTTTGATTAGGCATGCTGGTTCAGTACCCTCCGGTTATGTACTTCGAAGTGGGGAAGCTGGATCATACAGTGGACCATATTTAGTATTTTCAGGCATCTTTGTAATGACTGTTCTAATTCCCATTTCCGTCAACATGTGAGCATCCCTCTTCACCACATGCTCATTAGCATTTGTGTGTCACTTTGATCCTAGCCCTCCTAACTGGGGTGAATGACACCACACAGTGGCTTTGATTTGTAGTCCCTGATGGTTAACTCAGCACTTTTTCCATGTTAGCCATTTGTATTCTTTTGAGAAGTGTCTTTGTCATAATTTACTCATTTTTTTCTTATTCTTATTATTATTAATTACACTATATTCATTTTGTATCCCCCATAATAATTTACTCATTTTAAAACTTAGAATGTACATCTCAGATACAAAGTTAATAAACTGTAACAAATATTAAAAAAAATTAAAATTTAATTAAAAAATTAGAATGATTTTTTTTTTTTAGTTCCTTCTATTTTCTAGACAAAGACCTGCCACATTTAAGGCTGGTATATAATTTCTCCCATTCTGTAGCTGTGTCTTCATCTGTTGATCCGTTTTCCTTTACAAAAGCTTTGTAATTTGAGGTCATCCTAGCTGTCAATTTTTGCTCTATTTCCAGTGCTTTTGGCTCCCTGTCCAGAAAACCACTGCCTTTAACAAGGTCACGAGTTGTTTTCACTGTGTTTTCTTCCAGTAGTTGCAGTGTTTCAGGCCTTAAGGCTTAGTTTAATTTGTTTTTGTTTTTGCTTGTGTAGCGTAAGGAGGATTATGTCTCAGCCTCCTACATGGGTTGAGTTTCCCCAGCATCATTTATTGACGAGGTTGTTGTCATTCCAAAGTGCATCTTTGGTGCCTCTGTTGAAAACTATCGGGATGTAAATGCATAGGCTTATTTCTGGGATGCAGTATGTTTGACAGTTTATGTACCTATGTTGTTTGGGCTTCTATGACTTGATAGTATATGTTAGAATCAGATATTGTGATGCTCCCAACTTTGCCGTTTTCACTCAGGACTGCTTTAGGTACTTACATTATTTCATTTTTATTTCCAAATTCTTATGAATTTTAGCATTGTGTTGAACCTCAAAAAACATTAATTTTGCTAATCCATGGACAAGGGTGTTTTTTTCCATCTTGTATGTGTGTGTTATGCAATATCTTTCATGAATGCTTTGTGCTTTTCATTGTAGATAATTTTCTTCCTCTATTAAGTTTATCCCGAGGTGTTTTTTTTTTTTGTTGTTGTTGTTTTTTTTTTTTTTTTTTTTTTTTTGTATCTCTGTGCCTACTGTAAACTGGATTTTATGGATTGTAGTAATGGTTTCTCTCTGACATTCATCCTTGATTTATAACTAGGCTATTGATTTTTACAAGTTGATTTTTATATCTGACTACTGAGGTTATCAAGTATGAAGTCTACTTTTTCTGTGGATAGAATTACACCATTAGAATAGAGGAAGACTTTAATTTTTCCTTTCATATTTGTTTGCATTTCCTTTCCTTCTCTTGACAAATTGCTCTAGATAAAACTTCTTGTATTATGCTAAATAAGAGACATGAAGGTGAATATCCATAGATGTGTCCCTCTCTTTGAGGAAGTGCCTTCAGCTTTTTCCTACTATGTGTGACACAGTTGTGGGTTTTTCATACATAGTATTTCAAGTATGCTACTTCCATATATATATAAACTCTTCAAGTTTTTTTTAACATGTAGAGTTGTTGAATTGTGTTATGCCTTTCCTATACATGGATGTTTATATAATTTATATTCTTTATTCTATCACTATGATACATGATGTTTAGGTTACATGTATAAACTATCCTTTCATCCCTCAGATGAAACCTCTTGATCACATTTTTGTTGAGAATTGTTGTGTCTATTTTGTCATAGTTATTGGTCTATAGCTCAGTGTATGCCTGATTTTCTTAAAAAGCAATGCTGCTATCATAGAATCAACTTATAAAAGTGCCCTCTCTTGAAAACTGTGGCGTAGTTTGAGAGGATTGGAGTTAAGCTCTTCTTCAAGAGTTTATCCCCTAGTTTTGATTAAGCAGTGAGGCATATATACACCACCCCTGCCTAGAATTGCAAGGGGCCATACAGGCAATGGTGGAAATTGAGCTCCGTTTCGGACTTGGAGTTGGGAACCCCTACAACTCTTGTACCCTCTCTTCCCAATCTGGCTCCACTCCTTTTCAGGTAACCGTCTTGGTGTTACTTGACTTGATATAGTGTCCGTGGACTGTCCAGATTCCTATTCCTACTACTGCTTCTAGAAACAGCCTTCTGACGGTTCATTTGCCCTTTCCTTTCATCTCAAATTCCGAGACAAATGCCTCAGAATTTGGCCCAAAGGACGTGTGTTGTAGCAGTCCTCTTCATATGTACCAAGACACTCTGCTTGGAGGCCTGCCAGGTCATGATAGCTCTTTGGTATCCTTCAGGTTCATCCATATGCAGACCGGAAGACTGAAAATTCTTCTCGTCTCTTAAATTTCTTGGCAGGTAGAGTATTTTTTCTGTTGTTTTATTAACAGATCCCCTTATGCTACTCATGCGGGAGGGACCCTGTTCATCGAAGCTACTCGATTACTCTTTGCTAAAATGTGAGGAGGTATTTTTTTTTGCTAGGGAAGGGAGGCAGTGAAGCCCATTCCTGACAAATTCCACTGGCAGAGTAGTACATTGTACTTCCTTTCAACTAAATATTAATAAAGGCTTAATTTGTCTCATTGGGAAACCGTGAAGGTAAAGAAAGGCCAGTTTAAAATAGCTCTGGCTCTCAGGAAGGTCTCATACACTCTTGTTGCGTAAGGGCCAATACCATTTTATGTGGACGTTGCCCAGAAACCCAACCTGGCTACTAGGCCTGCAACTCTCTGTGTCTATGAAACAAGCTCTTTCTACACTTATTGGACGGCTGGCAGTGCATTTTTATAATACCTTGAAGGTAATCAGAAAAAATGCAATTATACATTTGTGTTTAAATTTCATGTAGTAATCTCAGTGCCATGCATTTCTCCTTTATTTCCAGGTAAAAGTAAGGATTACCTTCACAGAATGTTTATTACAATAATCTTTTATGATATTGGTACCATCTGCTTTTGATGTTGTAATTCTCTTAGTTAACCATATGATTTTTCAGCATTAACCAAACATCTGTTCTGGGTGATCACACACATTTCAGGCATCATACATGTTCTCTATTACTGAAATGCATTCCTAGCCCAAACCTTTAGGTGGCTGTGGGTTTTTTTTTAATATAGTTATGTTAGCCATGAACCCCCTTTGCATCTTAAGATTATTTATTTATTTATTCATTATTTTTGGCTTTTTGAAACAGGGCTTCTCTGTGTAAATCTGACTATCCTGGAACGCTGTAGATCAGGCTGGCCTCAAAGTCAGATATCCACCTACCTCTGCCTCCTGGGTGCTGGGAGTAAACGTGTGTCCCACTGTCACCCGGCTATTTATTTCTATGGTTTTGCCTGCATGTATGTATGTGTACCATGTCCCAGAGTATAGAAAAAGAACATCAGATTTCCTGTTGCTGTAGTTACAGATAGTTGTGAGCTGCCACGAGGGCGCTGGAGCTGTGCCCAGGTCTTCTAGAAGATCAGAGTGCTCCGAACCATATCTGTAATCCGAGTTGTATCTTGAGCAAAGGACATCCGATGCTTAGGCTGGTGACAGTTTCCACAGATTGGAGAGGGAACGCTTACCAAAGCTAGTTATTCCAATACGAAGAATGATGGATACGGTTTTGTGCTATGGAGCAAGTTGCATTTATGATACTTTTTAAACACTAACACACTGAATTTTCTCAATGGCCCTAATAAACAGCAGTATACCAGGTTAAGCATAAGAAAGTGAAAAGGGGAAGATAATTAGCTATATTTCTACACTGGAAATTAAATTAACTGTGATGGGTCTTTGCCTACATCTAAAATAACATCAAAGCCTAAAGCAAAATTTCAAGTGTTTCTTCTCTGTATGATATTTTCACTTTGGATAACTTCGTCAACCAATCCCTGTCTAAAATTAAAAAAAAAAAAAAAAAAAGAAAGCAAGCTTTTTTTCATCTTGACGTTCATTCACACCAACATTTTAGGCTTCTGGGTATTCTTCTTAAACCTCCTTTTCGCAGTCAGAGGCTTTTGAGGACCGTTTGGTAAAGGGGGCATAGAAGGACAGGTGGTGGGTCCCGAGAAAACCACGGTGTACGCATGCTCCGTCGAGCCTGGTCTGTTTTGGGTAGAGGGTTCTCCTCTTAGAACCTGTTACCTTGCCTTGTGACGGAAGGACAGGGCTCAGGGAAAGGACCCACAAATGAAGCCTTTCCTCTATTTGTTCCAGCTTGGGAGTCATACTGGACCACTTCTCCGTTTGTCTTGAGGACTTCGGTCACCGGACTCCCCAGAGCTCATTGTTCTTCCTCATAGAGCCGCTCATTGATCCAGCGTTAGTACCAGATCCCTCCTCCCTCCTCCAAAACCCAACCTGCCTTCAAATGCCAACCACAGTGGTGGATGCAGTGACCCAGAAGTATAAGCAATTGAGTGCCCCTTAATCCCCCAGTCTTCTCCAGTCTGGTCACTTCTTCTAGTCTCTGTACCATGTGCTTGTTTGTGTCACACATGGGCAAATGCCTGGCGCGTGACTACAGGGCTGGCCTCTGAGATGACTGCCAAGTTGCAAAAGCAATCATCTTTTCTCTGTGTTGGCACCAGAAAGAAGTCCTTAAGTTGTGATCACACTTTGCAAAACTGCCCTTTCTGTGTGAGGAGCTAGCAGCCCTGTTGGGGGAGAACTCGGAACAGCTCTCATTTCTTTGTGGCTGCATCTGATCCACCTTTTCAGTGCACAGCAAATGTTCATGCTGAACAGAAAGCACGCATCAAAGGGCCAGACTCCTCACCCCCCCCCTCCAAAATTCCGCAGCCTTTGTTGTCACTGGAGCTGGGTGGTTATTGAACTTTGCAGACCTGCTGGGCCAGGAAAGTGAAAACACCCTCCGAAGCCAGCAGGGGTGGTGCTGTGTGCCTGGGAGATAGGGCTGTGCATCCAAAGGCCCGGCGGTTGCCATGGCACCCTGACACAGAGATCATTCCTTATGAATGTCACTGAGGTCTGTGACTAAAGTTGTTTATGAGTCAAAAGTCTCATGAAACTACAGGAGGAGAGGATGACTGCGCCTCACAGGCTGTGGGAAAGAAGATTGGAGCTTCAATGAGCTCACATGCTCCCTAACACCCTCCGCCCCCCACCTCGTTTGCTAAGGAAGATCATCTTTAAATAGGACATGTGGCGCAAGGCAGTCTGAACAGACTGACATTGCAGTCATCTCTATGCACAAGACAAGAAAGTATTTTAAATCATACACTGCTGGCTGTAGTTTTCCTGGGCTTTGTGGCTCAGGCAGCAGCATGGAGCTGAGCTCCAAGGGGCCTGGAGGGGCAGCTTTCTGACCATTTGGCTTATTCTCCCTCCTTTGTTCCTCCAACATGAAGGCTTACCGCTTTTCAAACCATAGTCTTTGCATCCAAAGAGGACAGATAAGGTCATGGGTACCTCCTCTTTCCTTACAGAGAGGTTTGAAATAACAGCAACTATTGTTACTGTTGGAATATGAATGTATAGAAATGCTCAGCTGAGTGTGTGAAAATCATAGCAGAGAAAGGCAAAAGAGGCAGCTATGGAGGGTATAGATTTTCTTCTATTCCTGGAGTATCTCTCCCACCCTGAGATAAAGGACATCTCCTCTGATATTTGGAGGTTAGAGAAAGAAAGGAGACCAAAAGATTTCTCCTTTCAATCTGGAAAAGAGTGGGGGAATGGGCACCCATCTTTTCCTTTCTCCTACTCAGTTGCACAAGACTAGGCCAAGATGACAGAAGTCCCTGTGAGGGAAAGGTGGGGCAGACGAAGGATGGTGGAAAGTGCCAAGCACACGCTACTGAGATCTTGCCCTTGAAGTTCAGGTCTCAATTGTGTTGGTCTCACTATGCGGCCATGGCTGGTCTGCAACTCACTATTTAGGCCAAGCTATTCTTGGATTTGCAGCAACTCTCAGGAGTGTTGGGGATTACAGGAATTTACTGTCACATCTTGTTCTCAGACCTCTTTTTATAAGTTACACTATGAATCTTAAATGGATGGCATAAGAAAACTTTGTTTTGAAAAAATGATTCCTTTCCCATTCCTAGTTGCATTAAACACATAGGAACCAGCTTGGGAAGTCTCCCTCATCACTTACACAGGGGGGGCATTCTTTCCCCTGAAGCCCTCTCCAAGATCATAAGAGCGTCCTACCTCTGACACAGTACAGTTGAGTTGGAAGATCTGCCCTTCTCCTTCCACCTGCCTCACACAGAGTTTGCAAACCAGCTCCACTGTGTTCAGGCTGAGTCTCTCCAGAGTGAAGGTGCAGTGGAGGTTTCTTTGAGAGCCACTCCAGATATGGTAAAATGGAATTTCCTGGAAGACATGGGCGTGGCAACTGCAATGAAGAGATGCTGGATGTACCCATCAAGCAACTGCTGCTTCTCAGTTTTCACCTCATCCAGCCTCATGACTGTCCTGTGTACAGATATGGTCTCACATCTCTTTGAACAAGAAACCAGAGGTGCAGAGAGGTTAAATGGCAGCCAATGTTGAACAGTGAGGACGTGGATGAGATGAGACTGGAACCCACTGAATCAGGCTATAGGAACCACACCTACCTGAGTGCCTGCCTCTCATTTAGAAAAACAACACAGCTACTATAGATGAGCTGTCTGAAAAAGTGCAGACAGCTCCTAAAATAAATCCTCCAATACCATCATTTCTTATTGAAATAATCCCCGATGTGACATAGTGGAGCAGCAAAGCTAGCCCCAGGATGGAGTGATGGTTCCACATCCTTGAATGTTTCTATCCTCCCTTTGTCCAGGGCAAGGGCAACTGAAGCTTGCCCTAGTTGCAAATCCTTCACCACAAAAAAAAAAAAAAAAAAAAAAAAGTCCTTGGCCTATGAAGCACCGAGTCCATACCAGATGCTTATTTGTAAAAATCCAGACCATTGCACAGAGCTAATCCTATACTCTTGTGGTAATTAAGCCAAAGAAAGGATTCATGAAAGAACATGGTGTTTAGACTGACATTCTAGTGCCAAATCCAGAACCACTGAGTGACAGTGTGCCATTCACTGACATACCATGTCAGCCACCAAACTCTGGTTCCTGCAAAGTATGAGTGCTGTGTTAGCTAGCAAGATGGAAGATCAGTATACCTCAGATCAGATAATAGTGCCCCATTTCCTTCTACAGATGCATTTTAGGTTGTTCTTATTGAGGCAGTGAAAGTTGACAACTAACTCACTAAAACTAAAGTAACAGTACAGTTATTATAAGAATACTTTAAAAAGTATTCCTTTAAATACGCTTATTGGGCATTTTTCAAAACCCTGGCCCCATACTGTTTTGGAAAAATAAGTATTGGCACGGAAGACATTGGAGATATCTCCAAGAAAACTCCATGGCCACAAAATCTCAATCATCTATCTTATATCTGTCTCCAAGCAGCTGGTGCCTCTTGGTTGCCTTACCTGATACTTAGCCAGCAATTTGCTCTTCCAGAGGGAGTGGGCGACATCGTGAATCGACAGGCGCAGATTGTGGACGCTGCCTTTAAAATGAAGAGCCTTGGGTTCTTCCAGGAGTTGTCCTCCCATCTGCCTCTCCAGTTGCAGAACTTCCTACAATGACATGTCCCAAGCAGAGGCGCATTATTGGTGGACCTGCCTGATTTCTCTCAGAGCTCTCATCAAGTAAATAAGTTTCTTTACCATGTCTGGTGGATGGACTACCGTACTTAGTAAATGCCACGAATCTGCCACCCGTGGGTCTGAGACCCTCACCACCAAATCCTGATCATCTTGCATGGGCCTCAGTCCCATTGACAAGTAGCCTGTGCAATCTGCATCACACCACATGGGAGGAAACACGGTAGGATTTATTTATTTATTTATTTATTTACTTATTTATTTATTTTTTTATTATTTTTTGGTAGTTGACAAGAACAAGAGACTGACATTGAGAATGGGAAGAGATTCTAATACAAGAAAAATAGTGGTAGAAATATAGGTAAACAGATAAGCAGATTTTCATTGAAATTTGAGAGAAATAGGCTGATAATTAAAAGGCAACTTTCTATGTTATATTTGATAAAACCAACCAATACAAAAATGTGGACTGTTTTAGACATTTAGTCCAGTCTCGTATTAAATTATGTACAAAAAATGAAGTGATAAAAGTTATAAAGTACCTAAGTCATAGTGACTAAAACATTGGTGCCCATGGTGACACACAACAGAAAACCTTGAGGGGCATTCATTTGATGTCCACCTGGGGACAGTAATGGTTCAGGGCTACAGAGGAAGGGTCCAGTGAGCTTCAACCCTGCATAGGATAGCTTCAAACCCTGCATGAGGATGGCAGGAGTTGGCTACCTCTTCCTCCCAACCTGACACCATAAAGCAGACTTCTCCACCATCAACCCTGGTAAGAATTTATTACCCTGACAGTTATCAGGCTTCACCACTTGTTTGGCCTTATAAGGTCCCCTCCCGCTGCAGTCCATGAGCATGCAGATGAAGCATCGTCAAACACCCCTGCTCTGGCCAATGGTACATAGCCACATACACCTTACCCAGAGACCCTGACCACCTCCTCAGAGGCATAAATACCCACTTCACCTCCAATAAGCTTAACCAGTTCTCTGAAGCTGTACCCAGGTGTGTGTATTGCCCAAACATTCACCACCGTGACCAAGCTCATGCCCTTCATTCATCCTCTCTCTGCTAAGCTTTTCTCCCTCCAACCTAGCTCGAGTGTGCAATGGGCCTGGTTACCCCAAAGGGGAAGTGGACATAGGTCAGCATCCACCTTTGTCCAGAGACAGAGTTTGTCACTGGCCTTGACCTATTCAAATAAACTAGGCAGGGAACCCCAGAGGTTGACCTTTCTGTCTCTCTCATTTTTAGGATTGCTAACATGTTTCATTTACCATTTTTGTTACATAGGTTTTCGGATTTCATGGTCAGAACTTTACCAGCTGAGCCTAAAAGAAAGATATATATCCTATTAGAGAAAAAAACCTTTGGCTACAGGTAACGAAGATTTTAAGCAACAGTTTCTGAACCAAACAGTTACTCAGATTAAAGTTTAAAAAGAAGAATACCTTATCTCTCAGAAATTCTAGGTGAAGAAAACCCACTCCAGCCCTTATTTACAGCATAGAGATGTAACAGGAAGACAAAGGCTATATCCATTTCCATTCCTCAAGCTACTTAATGGAACTTAATGAAGCATTTCCAACTACAGCTGAAATTATCCAAACAGCAGCACACTGTAAGTTATCAAGATCAATGCACAAATGGGCCACCCTTGTACTTCACTCCTCTCATGCTATCAAAATTCTAATGATGAAAAAATTGTGTAATTCATGATTTTTTAGAAGTGGGGATCCAGGGAAATAATGATATTTGTAAATAACATAAAGTAAAACATGGTTGTCTTTTGTGGTGATATTTCTTTTTTTAAATTTCCCTCTTTTTAAAAAATTAATAATTTATTTATTCACTTTACATCCCAATTGTACCCCCTCTTTCCTCTCCTCCCAGTTTCACCTTCTCATCCTCTTCCCTCTCCCCTATTCCTGAGATAAGGGGAGCTTTCCCCCCACCCAACCCAGCTCATTAAGTTGCATCAGGACTGAGAGTGTCCTCTTCCCCCTGTGGCGATATTTCAGCAAATAAAAGGAATTTCAAGAATACAGGCATTCATTCAGAATGCCATCTGTGTGCACCCAGGAACAACCACGGTGTGAAACACAGAGGGACCACAGAGGACAAGTTGGCTCCATCTTGCTAGATACCCAGAGATGCATGGGCTTTGCATTTGTTGAGAGAACACTGAGCCACACTCTGACAATCTAGTCACTACTGAACATCATGGACAAGATGCCAACAGCTCAGTGAAACTGCTGCTTCCTGGGTCTTAGCTTCCATCACTACCTACCTAAAGGTCCTTTGAGGCATAGGAAATACTAGGATAGTGGGGAACATGGTATCGGTAAGGAGTCCTCTAATTAGTGTCTAATGGAAGCCATGAGGCAAGACCCCTCTGGCCCAGAGAAGTGTGTGGTCCAGATGTCTGACAGTATTGACCTGCTTTCTTCAGTGGCTGGGGATGAGTAGCTATTACTTGTGACAGGAGCTGAGCAGCCAGCTAGCCACCATGACACAGATGCCATGTCACTGTCCTCAGCTGTGCTTACCTCAGTAGACTCCCAAGATAGCCAGTCGGACCTACAGATCTAGCCACAGTCACACATAGCCACTCTCCCAGTATACCCTTCCTGACACCGTACACCCCATTCCCTGGCAAGAATCGTCTGTCAGCCTATGGAACAGGGAAGAGATGTGAGGGTTAATTGTAGTTGCTTCTGCTTCAGCAGGAACACATAATGAGCTTATGTTGATCATGTTCAGTGTCTAGTTAGCATAATAGAGAAAGCTGATGTTCCCAGTGAACCTGGCACCTGACAAATTCTAAAGCTAAAATGATGTTTGTTTATAAGCCATTAGAAGAAAAGAAACATAATTAGAAATCTTTGAGATTACAGTCATGCCAATCAATCAGTTCTAGCTTCTTTCCAGTATGCCCTAATTACCTCATCAAGACATCTAAAGAGCAATCGATAGTAATTATCTGATTACTATAGATCTTCATTACATCCAAATTATCTCCCTGGGATGTCTGAAAGAAGATGCATTGTATTCTGGGAGGTAATTGTACCCAACAATGTAGAATGCATATCCCATCTCTACAATCAACATAGAATGCCAGAAGACAGCACCTTATCATTATCAGTTTTCTTGGCAGGATGGACCACCTATCAAAATCTTATCTGCTTGTAGGCCATGACCTTGATGTCAAAAAATTTTGAATGCAAAGTCTGGGTTGGAGTCAGTCCAAGGCTTTGGTTTTATAGAAGCTAGGGAGTTCTCCCTTATGAAGACCAGGTCTTCAAAAGGGGAAGGAACCCTTTTCAAAGAGAGAGGGGGAGAGAGAGAGAGAGATAGAAAGGAGAGAGAGAGAAAGGGAGGGAGAGAGGAGAGAGAGAGAAAAAAAACAAAGTACCACTTAGTAGCAGCTGGGCCTAGAACACACTTTATCTACATCGTTTTGTTCTCCTCTCCATCAACCAGAAGGCCTGTGATAAGCTGCCATGCAGAGCTGGTACATGACCTCTTGCACCTTCCTATCAATAAAACAAGTTTTATTGTCTACCAATCAAAAACTGATTGTGAATTTTATGTTAATTTCCTTAAAAAATTTAAACCCATATTCGCACATTGATATGCCAATATGTCATGCTATAAAAATAAAGTTATAAGCTGTGATTAACAAACACAGAATGGCTAATGTTGTCTTTTGTTGGCCGATGGTGCACTGGGCCTGTGGCATGTGAAATTGTTCTCTATCTTAGAGATGGTTGGTGAGAACAGCTATCTTCACACCAATATCTGAGTGAGGAACTAACTTAGGAATAAATACTTTAGCTATAAACATCTTTACTTAAATTTAACACATTTTTTTTCCTGAAAAACAGTGACTAGTGTTACTACAGTTAGGATATTCAACTTGAAGAAAAAAAAATACAAGAGACAAGCACCAAAGCACAGAGTGGATGTGGTACTGAATAATTTTAATCTCAGCACTCTCAGGAGGCAGAGGCAGATGGATATTTTGAGTTCAAGGCCAGCCTGGTCTATATGTTGAGTTTCAGGGAAGCTAAAACTCCATAATCAGACCCTGACTCAAATAAAATAACACTAACAAATAACAAACAAAAAACAAAATCTAAGATAAAACAAAAGAAAAGCAACAACAAAAAAAAAACTAATGAAATCACAAAAGATATTCAAGCAGAAATAGAAGATATTTTAATGAATAAGTGGAACACTCCTCAGAAATAAAATATCATGTAAATCCACCTGTGAGTCAAAATGACTAGTCATATGCAGTGGATGCCACATGCAAGTTTTGCGTCAGAAGAGGGGTCAACCTCAGGACATGCCACACAGGCTTGGTTTCTGTACTGTTAGTGTTCCGTGCTCTAATTTGAGATATGCCATGCCCATTTCCACTTAAAAATACACTATGACTTTTACATAACAGACTTAGTTTTACAGATTCTTCCTGAATAAAATCATACTGGTTAAGATATGTGATATGGATACAATGATGAAATAAAAATAACAGGCTCATTCATTAATGAAGCATGATCTTACAGCTACATTTTTTTTTCTTCTGGCCTTCTTGGAAACAGCCACTCAGCGTCATTGAGATGTGTGACTTATGTCAGAAAGTGTGTGCTTGGCCCACAGCTTCTCTTCTGCATGGTATAGAGACAATGTGAACCTATAACCAGGCTGAAATGAGCTATATTCTAAAACAGTATCTTGATAGACTGTTTTTTTGGAGTCACAAAGGTTAGGTTATTTATATACCTTAATGGAGGATAAGAACCAAATATTCTGAAGGTCAAAAGATTTAGGAAGATTTAACAAAATATCGTGACCTTGGAAAGAAATGTCATAATAAACATTAGGATCATGTAGGTTGTTTGTACTCAGAAATATAAAGGTCACCTTCCTTTGTTGAGGTTGTCTTTCTTTTTGGTAGCCAG